TGGGTTGGGTAGATTGACCCCGTTTTCTCTTATTTAACCGATTTTTAAACCCATTCATTTTACATTGACCCATATTAAACCCGACTCGCCAAAATCCTCGCACACCCTTTTAGCCCGTTTTAACTTCTTCCTTCGAATATGTCTATTGAATACAATTTCTTAAAACCAAACTTATCGAATCAAAGAGACTTGTTTTTGCCATCGGTTGGGAGGTTTCTAGCAAGAGCCTTGTGACCAGGCGACGTCGTTGGTGAAATTCGCCTTCTCGCCCCCATCGAGCCTCTCTTTGTGTTTATTTTTATTTTCGTATATAATTACTTTTGGGGTTTGTTTGAGTTAGTAATCAAAATGAGTTGAATATGGATGTGTTCCAAACCCAAAGATACCCGCATTTAATCGGAGTGATGTTTCTATAAATCAATTTTCATACGCAATCTGTTCCCCTAAATGTGTGACGCAGATAGAAGCGATAACTTGGAAAACTCTTCCACAATTCGACTGGAATTCAATTCAATTTCATTATCTGAATACAAAGTTGAACGTCCTTTTATAATGATAGGACTCCTAAAGATATCCGAATTAATGAAGATAACATCAAAGCAAATCAAATCTAATCGTATAAAATCAAATAAAATCTTATCTAATAAAATCAAATCTAATCTTATCTAATAAAATCAAACGAAATATTGATAATTCGAAATTGCCTAAAGTAAAAAAACCGCCTAATCGAAAAGCGCCGAGATTTCCGGCCATTACGGCGATCATATTCTTCAAGATAATCAGGCTAAGCTAACTGTTCTACATCATTCCCTCCTCTTCGGGAAAACTCGCCCTCGAGTTATGATTAGGATAGAGGGTGTATCGGGAGCATGATACTCAAATAAGTCTCGCCACATTAAATGTAGGGGAAATGTTGAGATCACCGGGAAGGTCAACTACATAGGCATTGTCGTTGATCTTCTTCGGGATGCGGCAAGGACCAATCTTCTTGTGCTTCAGTTTATTATAGGTACCTACAGAAAACGCTCCTTTCGCAGAAAACCATTACCTCATCGCCTACCTCAAAAATTTTCGAACGTCGCCTTTTGTCGCATCCTCCTTATACTTTGAATTAGAAGGACCAATTGACTAGCAATAGCAGCTTGGACTTCATTAATTCTGGTCGCCAAATTCTCCGCCGCGACACTATAGCCGGGAATCTTGGGCAAGGGAACCAAAGCTAGAGTATGCCGTGGTGTACGCCCATAAACGACTTGAAAGGGAGATGTACCCAGTAGAGCGGTTAACCGAGTTGTTGAAGGCGATCAGCAGGAGCAAGATACCGGTCCCATCGCTTAGACATATCACTGTAGAGGCAGCGAATGATATCTCGCCATAGTACGATTGACAACTTCCGTTTGACCATCCGTTTGGGGATGAAAAGAACTACTATACCGTAAATCGTCCCAAACAAACGCCATAAAATACGCCAAAAATGGCTCAGAAATTTCGTGTCACGATCGGAAGTGATTGTCTTCGGCACATCATGGAGACGGACTACTTCATGAAAGAATAAACTCGCCACATGCGAAGCATCCGAAGTTTTCTTACAAGGGATAAAATGCGCCATCTTCTCGGTCATGAAGCCGCACTTCTTCAAATTAATAAATAATTGATTTTTTCGCAAGGTTAGCAGGGACATCTCTCAAGTGCTCCATGTGCCGTCGATCGTCCGGACTATAGATGAGAATATCATCAAAGAAAACTACCACAAACTTGCCAATAAAAGGTTTGAGAACCCGAGTCATCAAACGCATGAAAGTACTAGGCGCATTAGTGAGTCCAAACGGCATGACAAGCCATTCGTACAAACCCGCACTTGTCTTGAAGGCCATTTTCCATTCGTCGCAAGGACGGATGCGAACTTGGTGGTATCCGCTTCGAAGGTCGATCTTCGTAAAATCTGTGATTCAAGCAAGTCTGTCTAGCATATCATCAAGTCGTGAAATCGAAAACCTATACTTGATGAATCCGGTTAATGGCACGACTGTCTACACACATACGCATGGTGCCGTCTTTCTTTGGCGTGAGAAGCGCAGAACGCACATGGACTTTTGCTTTCACGCAAGAAGCCCTTTCGAAGGAGATCTCCCACTGCTCTCGTAGAATCTCGATTCTCCTTCGGATTCATCCGATAATGCGGCAAATTAGGAAGACTAGCTCTTGGAAGAAAATCAATCTCATGCTCGATATCCCTCAAAGGAGGTAATCCGTCAGGTAAATCCTCAAGCATAACATCACTGAATACCTTTAATAAGGGCTTAAGAATGTCAGAACACGAACCACAACTTGCTGGTCGCCCTTGTCCACAATCATATACATCCCTTCACCCTTTCGGATGTTCATCATAACCGCTGCATTCTGCTTCTTCACAATCTGAGGGGAATTACTCTTTGGTCTCAAAGTAATTTTAGTCCTTTTCCACACAAAAGAATACGTATTTTCCCTAGCTCGGTATGTAGCATCAACATCATATTGCCATGGTCGACCCAAGTAAAACATGACACGCATCCATCTCCACAACATCACGCATAATAGTATCTTGATATGATTTCCCGATCGAAATAGGTAAACGGCATAATTGGTTTACCTTAAGTTCTCGCTCCCTTGCGTATCCACCCGTTCGTGTAGGGCGCGGGATGCGGCTCCGTCTTTAGTTGCAAGTGATCCACCAAGGCCTTTGACACTATGTTCTCGCAACTTTTCGTCAATAATGATATCGCATACTTTTTGTTGACAAGATGCATGAGCGGAAAAGCCGATTCCATTGGGTCTCTTCTGTCCGCGGAGCAAGCAATAGACGACGCACAACACAATTAACTTGCTCGCCCACTTCTTCTTCATTTTCCCAATCTTCCTCATACACATCTTCGTCATGTTCAACGATATTGGCCATTCTACAACGAGGACAATCGCTGGAACGATGGCCCAACTCGTTACACTTGTAGCACCTGATCGGTTAGAGCTTGGCATATGGATTCGGGTATTCGATTGGGAGTGCGATTGTTTTCGCGACCGCTTCCTTAAGCATCCCAAAGAGTACCCCTAGAACTCGGCTCGAATCGGTGTTTGTTGACTAAAAGAACTTGCAACATCAGTGTCTTCTTTTCCCGAATGACCCACGACCCGAATAATTGCTACCACGAGTACTAGGGCTAGTCCTCTCCAATTGCACCTCAATTTTTCGCGCCATATCCCGGGCGTCTTCGACAGAGAATAGTCGATGCAAAGAAACCCGATCCTGGATATTAAGTCGCAAACCATTAATGTACCTAGCAGTTTGTTGTGCCTCGGACTCATCCAGTTATGGCGAGCGGAGAGTCGAAGGAACTCTTCCGTATAAGCTTGGACCGATCTATTCAATTGTTGGCAATTCTGGAATTTTGAAACAACAATTGCTCATAGTCCGTTGGAAGGAACCTCTTCTTCAACTTCTGTTTCATCGACCCCATGATCGAATAGGAGCCTTGCCTTGTCGACGTCGCATCAATTGAGTCTGTTCCCACCAAGTGAAGCGCCACCCTTCAACTTGTACGCCACAAGTTTCACTTGGCGATCCTCGTCAATATCCATAGCGTCGAAGAATTTTTCCTCTAGATATCCATTATGTACATAAGCAATCAATCTATCGTATAAATAAATCTATCTTATCTATAATCATCATCTTATCTAATAAATCAACAATATTGATATTCAATTGCCTAAGTAAAAGCCTATGAAAACCGATTATCATCACATTCTTCAAGATATGAACTTTCATAATGGGTGGTTGTGGGCGCATCCATAGTGACTGACCCCTCTATTTTTACTATATAATATACTAGTTGTTGATCCAATTTATTCATTTACTATTAAAAAAGGAAGAGGATTTCTATTTATTTATTTTTTGGATAGTAACTTCGACCTTTTTATTAGTGCAAAAATACCCCTAATTGGACATTTTACAAAATTTGTGGTTAGAAGATAAAAACTAACACTTTTGAAGACCAAGACTTACCCCCGTAGTACCTTTTACAACGAATTTCATCACTTCCACTTCTCTTTCTATTTTTTTTTTGCTTTCGTTTCTTCTTTGTATACTCAACACCGCTATGATTTAAACAATTCTTAAAGTTGGTAATCAATCGTAAACATACTCACTTAAAAATAGAAATATATAAATTGTGAACGCACCCAGTTCGAGCATGCACAAGTTTTGCTTGGAAAGTTATCAAAAAAAGGTTATAAATTTATAGTACGGATTCGAATTCAACCTTTTCAAATATAATCTTTCCTTCCAATTTCGATTGGAAATCGCTGACTTGGATGTCTAGTCAGCACCGGCCGTGTTGCATGGCGTGACGTGACTGGTGCTGTTGTGGGTAATTGTTGTAATTCTTAATTTCCTTCTTTTTCCCCCTTTTTTTTCTTTTTCTTTTTTTTCTTTTTTCCTATTTCCTTCCACCAGCCACAGGCGAGGCCGCCTTCACTAGCATCCAGTGAGGGTTAACGAGGGTCTAACGAGCGTTGCCCTTGCTAGAGGCTGACGAGAGCAGCCCTCACTAGACCTTCACCAGTGTCGGACCTCGTCTATGACCGGCGAAGGTCGCCGGCGGCAATGGGAAATAGAATAAAAAGAAAAATGAAAGGAAAAAAAGGAAAATTCCAAAAAATTTATGAATACAAAAATTTGCAATAGCAATATTCGGTCAAAATTAGTCGGAATAATTATATTGACAAATCGTCAAAACGTCTGATACTGAATTGACATCCGATTTATGACTTTTTCTCTATAATCATCCCGGTTTTGCTTAGAACGAGGCAAGCAAATCTTCCGCGATAATGATTCAGCATGCCAATACCATTACAGAAAATCCTAAGAACGTTCCCCGAGGAGAACTTATTTGGCGATATCATCAAGAACGTTTAAACAAAGATAATAAAGACCAGAGGATGATGCTTGACTAGATTGCCCTACTTTGATATGACTCCTCTAAATTGGCTGACGACATACAGCTTTTGGCTTGAAGGCTTCCATCCATAGAGAAGGCTTCCCTGTTTGCTCAAAATTTAACGAAGGCAAACGAAGGACGTCACTGGCATCCGCGGTGGATCTTCTCTGATCAAGCCCCCTCTATATATATACCGTCTTCTTCCCTCTGTCTCTGTCCATCTCTGCGTTTGGTGTCTTCCTGCGGCCCATACACATACCCATACCTCCAGCCAAGACACGCCCCTGCATTCTCGGAATCTTTCCTCGAGGTCCCATCTCTCATTCTCTCTTCCTCCTCCCCTGACCCCAGAGAGGCAGAGAGAGGCAGAGAGAAACAGAGCGTTGTTTCTTTCTGTTGCAGGGAGGGGAAGGAGATCCGTCGTCCTAAGCGAAGGGAAGGGAAGATGATGCAGAAGGGAATCGCCAGGGCCACCAGAAGAGCATTATCGTCGTCGGGATCTTCCTCCTCCCGCTTCGTCTCCTCCTCCTCTCAGGCCGCCCAGGAGACAAAGCAGGAGAATGGTGTCCCCAGGATGCCCCCCTTCGCCTACTCTCCCCCGCCGTACGCCGGCCCCTCCTCCGCGGAGATCCTCGCCAAGCGCCAGCAGTTCCTCAGCCCCTCCATGTTCTACTTCTACAAACAACCCGTCAGCCCTCTCTCTTTCTCTCTCTCTCTCTCTGCTTTTGTTTTGTCCCTTTTCTGTCGCAACGTTTTCGTTCGTCTCGTTATCGTCAATTGAGGAAAATAAATCGACCCAAGATTACGACGGCATTCATCGGAAACGAGTCTGCAAAAGCTAGTTTCACGTGGATTCGTGTTTTCTTGGGTCCCGATTGGTTGATCTCTGATGGGTGGCGATTCTTCTTTCCTTGCAGCTGAACGTGGTGGACGGCAAGATGCAGTACCTGTACGACGATAGCGGGAAGAGATACCTGGACGGGTTCGGAGGGATAGCCACCGTGTGCTGCGGCCACTGCCACCCCGACGTGGTGGGCGCCATCGTCCACCAGACCCGCCGCCTCCAGCACTCCACCATCCTCTACCTGAACCCCGCCATCGCCGACTTCGCCGAGGCCCTCGCCTCCAAGCTCCCCGGTGATCTCAACGTAATGAGAGCATGACCATCCTAAATTTTTTATGTGAACACTGCCAAAGATATCAATTTAATTGATAGCGAATATGTTCCCACCAACCCCACCTCCATGTTATTTAGTTCTTTTCAAATCGAAGATTGGTATTCTACCTACGTACTCGACGTCTTGAAAAATTGATTGGTTTTGTTTTTCCTTTGGCTGTGTGCGTTCACAGGTGGTGTTTTTCACGAACTCGGGGACGGAGGCGAACGAGCTAGCCATGATGATCGCGAGGCTGTACACTGGTTCCCACGACATAATATCGCTGAGGAATGCGTACCACGGGAACGCGGCCGGGACCATGGGCGCCACGGCCTCGAGCAACTGGAAGTTTAACGTCGTGCAGGTAACATAAATGCATACATACTCCTTAGTAGATTGTAATAACGACAATAACACATGCACATGATCGGGCTATACTCTTTATAGTTACAAGGAGAAGAAGAAGAAGAAAAGGTTGCTTTTTGTTATCTCCGAAATGAATCTGTGTGTCTCATGCTCTGATTCGGTTCGCACGAGTGTGGACCCAAAAGTCAGTACAGATATTATTTGTGGTCATGATTTTGACTTGGGGTGATGTGGTGGTGGAACCTGTTGATACCCAGTTGCATTTGATGGTGCAATTCGACCTACCATGCTGTACTTTGTCAAAAAGATCTAAAGGATTCTTTCAGCAACCTCTAACTCGCATGTACAGTTTGATTCTACCAGAAGCATGCATTGAATCTCTAGAGCTTTTTCAGGTTTCTCTCAGTTGTTCATCCTCGATCTTATCATATTGACATGTAGAGATTCTATGCCTCCTTTTCTACTTCTGTTCGTTGCTGAATTTGGGATCGATATCGGAGGTGGATCGTTATTGATAGTAAAAACTTAGAAATTCTCCCTCTCTTTTCTGAGGCACTTTTTTTCTAGCTGTTGTTTACAGAAAAGGATGAAATGAACTCTCGGTTATGAATGTTATTGATGAATAATTGCAATTCAGAAATGAGACAGAATAGTGATGGCCATTAGATTATTGGTTGCATGCTTGAATGTATTGATGTAAAAATTATAGTACTCCAAAATGGAAAGTTCAGATGGATTGAATCAACTGATGAACCGGCTTCTCGAATCATGTATTGTTCATTGACAGACTGGAGTTCATCACGCGTTAAACCCAGACCCCTACAGAGGTGTTTTCGGTTCAGATGGAGAGAAGTATGCCAGAGATGTCCAAGACCTCATCGAGTTTGGCACTTGTGGCAATGTGGCTGGTTTCATCTCTGAAGCTATACAGGTAGATCGATTCCCATGGTCTTTGCTTAATGTTGATCCGATACATTCACATGTCAATAATGCATTACCTATCTATGTGAACTGATTTGTCCTAATCAAATATCTAGATCAATCTGGTGAAACATCATTGCTTCGATTAACTTGCTAATTGATCACAGGGTGTGGGAGGCATTATTGAATTGGCCCCACATTACTTGCCTGCTGTATATAGCAGCATCAGGAAAGCCGGTGGCCTTTGTATTGCTGATGAAGTTCAATCTGGATTCGCTCGCACAGGAAGTCACTTTTGGGGTTTCGAATCCCATGGGGTTGTTCCGGACATTGTCACGATGGCAAAGGTGATTATCACATCTGCTCTTTGCTCTGCACATGTTTTTGTTGGCCAACATAATGGTTTTCTGCACTTCAAATTGGTCCTCAATTTGCTATCTTGGAATTACTTGGCAATATAACAAAACTGAAAGTTGCCTTTTCTTTTATCCCCTGTGGTTATGTATGCTTTCAGTACCTCTGATTCAGCTTCATAAAGGCATATCCGGTCCCATGCCCGTGTCTTATCTCAGTCTCAAATCTTGGTCGTGATTAGCTTAACCATTTGTTTTTTCTTTTCTACAGGGCATTGGAAATGGCATTCCTCTCGGAGCCGTGGTGACCACTCCCAAAATCGCAGAGGTGCTGACCCGTCGCAGTTATTTCAATACCTTTGGTGGCAACCCGGTCTGCACGGCTGCTGGGCTAGCTGTGTTGAAAGTGATCGAGAAAGAAAATCTTCAGGAGAACGCACACATTGTGGGGTCTCATCTGAAAGAAAGACTGACATCGCTCATGGACAAATACGAAAGTAAACCTTCTTCCCCAAAACCCTTTTTACCTAGATGCTCTTCATGTTCTACATGGTAGATAATGCTTATCATGATGTGCGTACCCTTATGCCTTGGTGTTGTTCGTTGCATGTGGTTAGTTGACCATATTCAACTAAACTTATACAGTAACTCTATTTACGTGGTAATGCGTCGATCTGTCTACAATATCAACTTCGTAATCACGATTTCGGCCATTATGATTGTTCTTGACTATAGTTGATTGATCACACTTTTGCTGATATAGTTATCGGGGATGTGAGGGGTCGGGGGCTGATGCTTGGAGTCGAACTAGTTACTGATCGCAAGTTGAAAACCCCCGCAAAAGCTGAAACTCTACATGTGATGGACCAAATGAAAGGTGTGTATTCATTCCTTTCTCCATCTTATTTACTTAGTCGATTGCAATGGAAACTTGATTTTACCATTTTATAAATCCTGCAAAATCCTTACAGAGATGGGTGTACTGATCGGCAAGGGAGGGTACTATGGAAACGTGTTCCGCATCACGCCGCCTCTGTGCATCACCAAAGAAGATGCAGGTATGCCTTTATGTTTTGTTGTTGTATTGTTGGAATTGAAGGGGACTTCTAATCAAATATATACTGCTTGATGACCCTCTAACGAGTAGTTTTTATTTTCATGGGCAGATTTCCTGGTGGATGCGATGGATTATACGCTGTCAAAGATGTGAAGTGCCTGAAAATGTAAATCTTTACATAAGCATCTGTGTGGTCTGCCACAGATTGATCTTACTACTGCTGTATACTGGTATGCGTGCTTCTTGTTATTCCTGCTTTTCTCGTACATAGGCTCCGAACAAGCAACTAGCGGCTAGTCGATCGTATGGTGAGTCAACAACTCGTTGTCTCTCTAAACAATTGAAATAAGCTCTGATGTTGCTTCTTTTCTTTTCCCTCAATTTCTTCCTGTTACTTTTGGCATATTGAGGTGGAAGCATTATGGATACAATCTGTTTGTATAGATGTTTGTTTCGAAAGAACCTCCAAGAACTTTTTTATACTTTGCAATCTAGTTTTTGCTTCGCGGGCTAAATCTCGCCAATGTCGGTCGACTAAAAAGTTGCGCTTCGGGTCAACGGCTTGTTGTCTCTGTTAATCATTTGCTCTGGCAAATACTTGTTAGATGCAGTTTAACTCCAAAGATGATATTCAACTGATTCTGTCACGTATGCAAAATATTTTCCAAAGATTCATGAAAACCTGCAGAACTAAAGCTTGCTTCTGCAATAAGATTCCAAAACTCAAAGCACACTGCTTTTAACCAAGGGAATGTGCGGATTCCAGAGAGAAACTCATTGCTCGATTTTCGATTAATCTGTAATACTCTCGACGGAAAGGGAATCCATGCTTGATTCACGAGGCCCTTCGTATCGAAGATCAACTTGTTTTTGAGATTTAAGCGACTGATCAGCTTGGACTCAAAAATCGAGCTTGCATTAAGTAACAGAAAAGTGCATGAGACTGAGCATCCGACATCGATCCGCTCCGTTCTATTGCTCGAGGGCTTATCGGAAAATGGGGCCGCAAATCGCGGAGGGGCGAGACGAGATCTACCGAATACGTATGTCAGAGTTGATCGTGAATCAACAGTTCAGTAGGTCATTGAGCGGGTCGAGTCAACTATGATTACCCAGGGAGAGCACTTGTCTTTGAAGGCAATACAGCCGATATATATCGCTTGACATGTCCCTTCTTCTCTGTATGAGCTTTATATTGCTCAAAATGATTATCTGTTCATGGGACATTACAAGTTTTTCAACATATGGGCGAATCAGCTCTTGAAAATTTCGAGGGTCGCCTTCTTTTGGAAGAAAGATTTTGTTGATTCTCATGATTATATCACATGTTGATGTCAACATGGAACTTCCTCTTGAAGCATCGTGGTTGGGTAACTTATGATGTGTCTGATTTTTTCAAAAGTAGCCTGATTTTATTATTGTCTTGATATTAACTGTGCCCTTCTACCTTACCAAAAAAAAAAAAAAAAACTATGCCCTTCTGCTCAAGAATATGTCTAGCTATATAATTCCTTAATTTGCTTGTCCAAATAATATTGTATCTGAAAATTATTTTGACCATTAAAGTTATAACTAGAAGTCATGCAATGCCCCGATATGAATACTAGTTTTGTGATAAAACTCCGGTAATAAGGAAAATTGTTCAAAAAGTCCTAAACTTATTACACTTTTGTCAATTTAGTTTTAAACATTTTTACATTTTGCCAATTGAGTTATCCGACCAATTTTAATTGGAAATCGCTGACGCAGACGCCGGGTGTTCTACGTGGCACAGTCGACAGCTGGTGCTAATGTGGACAATTGTATTAATACTTTAATATTTTTTCGAATTTTTAATTATTTTTCCTTCTTTTTTTTCTTTCCATCTTTTTCTTTTTCTTCTTCCAAGCCCGGCGAGGCCCGCTGGCCAAACCTCACCGGTATAGGTGAGGGCCAGCCTTAGCAATCGATGAGGGCTTCGCGGCACTCGCCCATTGGTCGGCGAGGGTCGGTCAGCCCTCATCAGACTTGATAGAAAAAGAAGAAGAAAAGAACAAAAAATATATATTAAATTAAAAAAATTTTAAAAAAAAACTGTCCACGTCACCAATTGTCGGTTAAAATTGGCTGGATAGATTCAATTGGCAAAATTGAAAGGTTTAAGACTGAACTGGCAAAAATGCAATAGGTTTAGGACTTTTTGGACTATTTTCCCCTTTATTCAATAAAATCCTTATGTTTTCAATCTTTTGTAGACAGGTAAGATGACTATTTAAGGTTACAATATCAATTACAATCAATTAGGATAAATCGAGAATGTGCACGAGATATATAAGCCATCAACGGATTTTTGTTTTGTTGGTCGGATATCAATGGATATATGGAAAATCTCATAATTATCTCCAATAGTTAGATTCACAATCAATCCAATATAACCAAAAAGGAAAAAAGGAAAAAAACTAAAACCCAAGTTACACTTTATTTCATTAAAGTGAGTTGACGTAAAACAAGAAGAAGAAGAACATTTTCCCCCCCACTTAGATGTTACATGATTTTTTATCTCTTTCCCCCACTAGTTCTGATTAAACCAAGACAATGGTTTATATACTTGTCAAATCTGAAAAGTTAGAGAATGCGTCTCGACTTCTTTTCGAGAGCGACCAACCGCGATCCATGGACATGGGATGAGACAATGCGCAACAATGAACGGCCCTTTTGGACATGGTTGAACATAAGAGACAAACCGTGAAATATAAAACAAGTGGTTAATAATTCAAGGGTTTTTAACTTTGCATGGTTAGATGATCGATGAGTAATGAGGTCATGACGGTACGTCACCTCTCTTGTATGGCTTCACTTAGTCCTTGGAAGAGTATGTTAAAAGCTAATCATAATGGCCTAAACTCGGAAAAAAAAAATCCAAAAAAATGCTGAACTTATTGTATGGTGGCTTATTCAGTGATAAGCTTATCAATTTGGCCAAGTCACTCCTAAACCTCATAAAGATTTGTCAATTTGACAGGAAGTCGCTGACGTAGATGCTGTCTATCATATGTTGGACGATCGTGGCTAATATGGATGATTTTTGCAATTTTTATATTTTTTCCCCTTTTTTCTTTTTTTTTTTTACCTGTTTCCCTCCTCTGGTCACTGGCCTCGGCCATGGCCAAGGGAGGTCATCGGCCACGGCCAAGGGTCGCCCTCTGGCAACCCTCGCCTTCACCTGTGGCCGGCGAAGGGTAATAGAAAAAAAACTGCTCGTTCACCCCCCCTCCCCCTTTTTTAATAAGGAACGATACATATGTGAGACTAATCTGTATCGAATATGGCATTGAGGGTATCCCTTTGTACTTGGTTGCAATTTGTTGACATTGCTCCCAAACAAAAGTAAATGCAAATGATGTTGTAACACGAATGAAAATGCATGCAGCATTTTCTTGTTTAAATAACTTCATTTATCGGACCGATAACATATAATTTAAGCATCATGAGCAAGTATGATACCATGTTCAATTCCAATTTGACTAATTTACCAAGTCATGAATACAAATGCTCGTGTTCGATGCAACCATTTTCGCGCAATACCGCTACAAAATGTCGAGCCAGAAGCCTAACCTCATCGAGGAAGCGATAATTGAAAAAAAGAAAAACACCTTTCATTCCTAAGAACGATTTTAATGTTCAGAAAATTTATCACGTTCACCATCGGGATAAAGAATTACTCCACAAACAAAGTTAAAAATACCAACACATATTTTTAATTTTACTATTAATAGTTGTATCCGTTTTGTTGATCGTTGAATCTTTCCATTCTAATACTAACAAAATAAAATACCGACACATGTATAAATATATATAAAGTTATTATTAGTGATTATAATTTTATTTGGTTGGTGGATGAATCTTTCCGTTTCCGATGCTCCCTGTACCAAAAGTGCCTTTGATAAAGCACTTATTTTTTTTTATATATATTCTAACGCCTTTCGAGTATAAGGTAAAGTTTACTCCAAGCGAATTGGCGGAGGAAGGGCCAAATGTATTGGTCAAAATAAATAATATCGAACAAAATACGGAGGAGACCGGCGATTGCATGCATAAAATTAAAAGGGTTAATACCACACACCTGTGATAAATTTATCCCGAATTATTTTTTTTATCACAAAAAATTCCAAACTGTTATATCTGTAACAAATTTATCCCAAATTAATATTTTGACCACAAAAATCTCAAACTGGTACACCCGTGATAATTTTACCTCGAACTAATTTTTTGACCACCAAAAACTCCAAACTTGTACAACTGTGACAAATTTACCATATGTTAGTTTCCGTTAAATTTTACTGTCAAATTACTAAGTTTAATGACACGTGATAGTTGACGGGTATACTAGTTTGGGTTTTACCCCACATTTTGTCACAAGTTTACCAATTTGTGGTTTTCGTGATATTAATCCAATTTAACGGACATTAATGGAGGGTAAATTTATTACAAATGTACCAGCTTTGAGGTTTTTAGTGATAAAAAAATTAGTTTGAGGTAAAATTGTCACAGATGTACCGGTTTAGGGTTTTTGATCGTCAAAAAATTAATTCGAAGTAAAATTATCACGGGTGTATTAGTTTGAAGTTTTTGTGGTCAAAATATTAATTCGGGATAAATTTATTATAGGTGTACCAGTTTGGAATTTTTCGTGATATCAACCCAAAATAAAATAAAATAGCACTATCTATATCCTTTCAGCGCCAGATCCGCCAAAGTGTATTCCATTTCCATCTAACCCTTACTTTTTCTTTTGGGGGGCCACTTTCCATATTTATTACTTTGCGGATGAGTTTGTATAAAAAAGAAAATTCTATCCGCGAATATACCGAGGAAAATTACCAAAATATCTTAAATTTATTGCACTTACATTAATTCAGTCACAAGCCTTTTAATTTGGCAAATTTAGTCTTAAGCTTTTTGACAATTTGGTAATTTAGTCTTTTTCGACCAATTTTGCTTGGAATTCACTAATGCGGATGCTAGCCGTCCTACGTGTCACAGTCGGTAGTCGGGTGGACAATTTTTGTAATTTTTTATTTCTTTATTCTTTAATTTCAAGGAAAGAAAATAAACAAAATAAAAGAAAAAGAAAAGAATTTTTTTAAAAATTGTCAACGTCAATGCCTATCGTGCCATGTAAGGCTGGCCACGATTTTTTGCCAAATTTTGATCGAAAGGACAAATCGTCAAAAGATTTATGACTAAATTAGTCAAATTAAAATATTTATGACTAAATTGACATATATAAGTTTAAGACTTATGTTTTGGTAATTTTCCGAATATCTTGAGTGAATAATTAAGTGCTTCGTTTGGATGCAATATACACTGAGTGGATGAGATATATGCATGCAAGCACATTCCATTTTGAAACACGGTATCTTCTACTCGATTATCACGGGAGGCCATACTCACGATAATGCGAGTGAGGCCTTTTCCCTATGCACGCGGAGGAGTTGATTCG